AAAACATTTTATCTTCCAACAAGACAATGACCCTAAACATACTTCAAAGAAAGCAAAACAGCTTTTTATCCAAAAGCAAATTGAGTTACTTGAATGTCCAGCGCAAAGTTCAAATCTCAATCCAATTGAACATCTCTGGGCTATTATGGATAAAACACATCACATGATGTCTAAAAAGAAAAGAAGAGCTAAAAATTGTGCTCCAAGAAACTTGGGCTGATATCCACTCAGATACGACAAAGAAATTAGTTGAATCGATACCATGTTAACTTGCATAGAAGCTAAAGGCAGTATAACTCGATATTAAAATGTCATAAAAATAATTACTCGGAGAAGAGTTACCTTTAGGCCTTATTCTTTGAAATTTTATTCAGATACTTATTTAATGCTGATAAATTGCATAAATGTATCCTAATTTTTTGTCAATTAAATATTATTATTGATTTTTTTTTTTTGCATATTGAATTTAAAATTAAATTTTCTTTCAGAATAACCATTTTTTTTATTATTATAAAGTTATATTTTATTGAAATAACCTAACAAAGTTTATTTTTCTTTAACTGTGTGTGTGTATGTGTGTGTGTGTGTGTGTGTGTGTGTGTGTGTGTGTGTGTGTGTGTGTGTGTGTGTGTGTGTGTGTGTGTGTGTGTGTGTGTATATATATATATATATATATATATATATATATATATATATATATATATATATATATATATATCAGGCCTTGTTTTAAATAAAAAAGTGCTTTATGCAATAGCTTAACGCGATTTTACAGTCATAAAATTATCTTTATTTTTTTTTATAGACCTTAAGTGTTTTAACTACTGCAATAAATAAATAACCGCTAACTAGTTCAATTTAACAACTAACTCAAATAACTATTTCTGAAACTTGTTTTTGAATAATTGTTTTTAATTGCTATTGAATGAAAAATAATAATGATTTTTTTATTTTTAAAAATTTCTAGAGTAAACAAAAAATATTAACATTAATAAACACAAACCCATGTTAATTATTTAAACAACGATTTTGTTTTGACTAGCAAAGAAAAATTTAGGTTTTTAAATATTTTTTAAATTTATCTTGCTTAGCGTTTTAACTTGCGTTTTATAAAAATATAAAAAAGTTTTGTCTGCTTTGAGCATATTTTTGATACATAATTTAGAACGCGTTCGCCAGGAATTTAATTCATAAATTTTTTATGTTATTGTAAAAATATTTTACTTTTTAAACAAATCACAAAAAAACAGAGCTATAGAGAAAAATTGTTTTAAACGATTAGATCTTTTTTTTAAAAAAAATTTTTAGGAAATTAAAAAAAAAATTAAATTAAATATAAAAGTCTTAATTATGCAAACTCTTTTGTTAATTATTCTTAAAACAAAAAAACAAATACTTCTACGCCAAACTTTAATCGTGCAAACTTAAAAAATACTTAACTGAAATAATTTAAGTATATTTAATAATTTGAATCGTATCTGTTTATAAAAAACGTTCGTAAAAATTTGTTTAAAAATTAAGTTCCTTAACTTATAAACAAACTCAAAAGTATTTTCATTCAACATATAATTACAAATCTTTTTTTTTTCGTTTGTAAGCAATTTAATTAATAAAATAAAAAAAGAATAAATATGAGGTAATCTTTGTTAAGAACAAATTTAATTTATTTATTGAACTATATTTTTATTTTTAATTATATATCAACTTAATTAAAATATAGTAACATGTTAAAACATTTTAACATGACTTGCGTTATTTATAAACCGTTGGGCAGTTGCCCTTACAACACCACCACAGTTTTACAGCACCATTGTTTTTGGATAATATTTCATTTTGATTAAGATCACATAACTTACATTTGATTTTAATAACGAAAGTCTTCTCTTTTTCTGTTATCATCGCATCAACAAAGCATCGGCAAAGTCCCAAGATTTAAAAGTTTTTAAAGTAAATCTTTTGTCCTTCAAAATACAATCCATATTCGAACTTTAAACAATTTAGAGAGAATAGAAATATACAAGGTTTTTATATACTAGTTTGTCTTGTTTTATAAAGAAAAATACATATTCATTAGTAAAAAATAGAGACTGTCATTAAACTAAAACGTGCCTTAGTATTTATTTAACGGAATCTGTAATGTGCGCATGCATAATGAAACCTCCGTTATATAAATAATTCAACGTAATATTAGTGCCATCAGCGGATGTTATAGTCTACTCATGATTTCTTTACCTTATAATATAACTTGATTTATGAAAAAAACTTATTGAATTGCACGCAGAAATTTAACAAATTGTCTTCATTCAAATATTGCGAGTAACAGGTAATTTTTTTTTTCTGTGCCTCCCCCCTCCCCCCGCATAACTTAAAGGTAAAGGTATCTATATACCTTTAACTAATAAGAAAAGCAAAGACATTTTTTTTAATATCTCAAAAAATGTCTTAATATTTTTTCAAAAATATTAAGACATTTTTTGAGATATTTAAAAAAATGTCAATCTTTAATTACAAATTTTTTTGCAAATGTTTTTTATTATAAATTCAGTAAAAAATTCTTAAAAAATCTATATTACATAAAACATTTATATTCTGTATTAATAAATATGGAATATAGATTCAAAGTTTTTTAATGAAAACTTTAAAAAATTACTAGTTTTTATTAAAAACATTGCAAAAAATTTGTAGTTAAGGATTGACAAACAATTTTTCATGTTGCTAAATATTTGGATAAAAAGTTTAGCGTCAAATTAATTTCTATAAAAAGGAAAGATATATCGCGATGAAAAGTTACAACAATTATTTTTAAAGTAAATTCTTTTTTTAAATAAATATCTTTACATATCATTATTTAAAAGTTAATGTGGTTTTTCTTAAAATTAATTACTTCTTTAATGTTACCACTAATTTAAAAGTTAAAAAATGATAAAAAAACAAGGCCTATATATATATATATATATATATATATATATATATATATATATATATATATATATATATATATATATACCAGGTTTCATTTTTAACTTACATTTCATGCGCAACAACTTTATCATATATAATTAAAACTGTTAATATAATTTTTACCAATTATATATAAAAGCTGTTAGTCTGAGGAATAAAACAGACTGAAAAAAGTTAAAAATTAAAATTCCATTAATTTAAAGTTTATACAAATATTGATCGTTCTCTTAAAAAATTTTCATTGAAATTTATCAAAAACAGTTTTTTTTATCAAAGAGCAAATTTTAAATATAATTTTTCATGGTGCATATAAAATCATGTTATAAAAATATTTAAAAAAAAAAAACTTTAAGGTTGATTCACCAAAACTTTAAGGTTGATTCACAAAGTTTTAACTTACGTTACAAAACCCAAAATTAAAATGCGCTTTAACTATAACATAAGTCATTTTATTATATAGATGTGCTTTTAATGTAAAAACATAAGATTTAATATTGATACAAATTTTTTTTTAATTTCAGTTTTTTGACAAAGCTTTTGGAAAAACATAACTTATTTGTATATTTTTTAACTTACGTTACACAAAAATTGCAAAAGTTCTTTCGTTAATTTCTCAATATTTTCTTCATAAAAAAAGTAAAATATTTGAACAATAATAAATTGAAGATGATAGCTCCATTTCCAGAGTAAAATAATTTAGATTATGCAATAAAATTTACTGTAAAGATAGCATTTTACAATAATGCATTTTTTATCATATGACTTTCAAAACCATTAAAACAACTTAAATAAATTTATAATATAAACTTAAAATAATAAACTTTATTATTAAAAGTATACTTTTAATGTCTACTTTAATACCAATCAATTAAAATTTGACAAAAAAGAGATTGAAAATTGTCTACTTTAACATTTTATGTGGTGGAACATGTTATGCATGCATTGACTGATTAAATAGGTAAAAAAAAAAAACATTATTTAAATATTTTTTTTACATAGTAAATATATATATTTTTTAAATCAATACTGAAGACCAGAAAAAGTTTAAAAAATTGAATTTTTTTACCAATTCAATCAGTCAATGTATGTACAGTCAATGTATGTACATGCATTTAAAAAAAACAAAACATTTTAGCTATTAAGTTGCATTTTTGTGGTTTTTAAAAAACAATAAAACTTAATTACTTTTCTTAATTATTTAATGGTTTTTAATAAAGTTGATTTTATCAACTTTAAACACAATGAGTTGTTAAGAGTCATTTTTTTGAAAAAAAAAAAACAGAGTTTCAGGCTATATGCTATCATCAGACATTACAAATACCATAACAGCAAAAAAATAAAAATACAGTACCTTAAGGTTAAAGTTATAGATAACAAATTTGTTTTTGAAGCAGCATTTCGATATAAGTTTATTCATGGTATTTTTTTGTTTGAATTAATAATATTGATGATGTTAGGAAGATAGCTATAATATTGGTGATGTTAGAAAGATAGCTACAATATTAGTCATGTTAGGAAAATAGCTATAACATTGGTGATGTTAGGAAGACCGCTATAATATTGATGATGTTAGGAAGATAGCTATAATATTGATAATGTTAGGAAGATAGTTCTTTTCAAAACTATTTAAGTTATTAAAAATAAACTAAAAACTCTAACTAAAAACTATAAGCTCAACTTGTTTCCCCGCACAGCGGCCTTGTTCATCAAGGTTCGTGTTTCGGAGTTTTAGAGTTGAGAGAGGGTTATAACCACTATTAAGTAGCCTCCTTGTCTGTAATGGCCTTTTCGGCCTTGAGGAGGTGAATAACAAAAAAAAAAAAAAAAAAAAAAAAAAACTCAAAACTCTTTAAGTTATTAAAAATGAACTAAAAATGAAATGACTTGAAACTTTCCAGAAATGTGAAATACTATCATATAATTTAGTATGTAAAAGTATTAATAGTTATAATATTAGTTATGTTAGGAAGATAGCTATAATATTGGTGATGTTAGGAAGATAGCTATAATATTAAAAATCATTTTTTAAACTTGCTTACCAACAATCAAAACTAACTTCATCTCCTCCCATGTGAAGGTATTTGTCAGGAAAAACACGACTAACTTCAGAGAAAAAATCTTCCAAAAACTTATAGTTAGACTCTATAGTTGGATTTATTGGACCATAGTTCCTAAAAATATTTACATTAAATATTGATTATTTTTATCCAATTTTTTATAGAACCTATTGATAATATGTTCTAATAATTATAGATAACAGTAAAAAAAAATATTTTTATTGATTTTAACTTAATAAAAAAAAAAATAAACACTTTTCCAAAAAAATTAGGTTTTTATTTAAATAATGTAAAAAAAAAATTTTTAGAAAACTTATGAGGTTTTTATTTAAAAAAAAAAAAAAATTAAAACCACTCACCCATTAGGTTTGCCACTACTATAACATGGTGTTAATAAATCTTTTACACTAAACCATGACTGTGTGTGACCCTAAATTTAAAAAATATAACATGATGTTAATAAATCTTTTACACTAAACCATGACTGTGTGTGACCCCTAAATTTAAAGAATATAACATGGTATTAATAAATCGTTTACACTAAACCATGACCCTAAATTTAAAGAATACATAATACTATCTTCATTTCTTTCTTTTTTAAGCATAAATGATATACGTACATTTAGATTAGCAATCTGACGTCGTACTGATTTAGGGAACTTTGAGGGTTTCAGTACATGCATTAGATTTAGTAAAAAAAAGTCAGTTAATATTTATCTATATGTGCTATAATGTATATATGGGCAATTCTGCGAGAGAATTTAAGTATAACGTTGGTTTTGCCGTTTTTCTTTTTGTATTATTTTGAGTATATATAAAACATTGCTGTTTTTATTTTAACTATTTTATTTAAAGTTTATATATAATATTGTCTGTTTTGCCGTATTTCTTTTTAATTGTTTTAATTTGAATCTAAATAAAACATTATCGTTTTTATTTTAATTATTTTGTTCGGAATTTAAATTAACATTAGTTTTGCCATATTTATTTTAGTTATTTTATTCAGAATTTAAGCAAATGTTCGTTTAAATTTTGTTCGTTTAAATTTTATTTAGAATTTAAAAAAATAATCTTTTGCTGTTTTTATTTTATTTAAAATTGAAATAAATCGTTTGTTTTGCCTTTTTTATTTTAAATATTTTATTTTGAATCAAAATAAAATTTTGTCGTTTTTTTTTAATACATATTTTATTTAGAATATAAATTAATGTTTGTTCTTCCGTTTTTAATCTAATTATTTTATTTAAAATATAAATTAATTTTCGATGTGCCGTTTTTATTTTATTTTATTATAGAAAATAAACAAATGGTTTGTTTTGCTGTTTTCATTTTATTTAGAATTATAATAAAACTTTGCCATTTTTCTAAAACTATTTTATTCAGAATTTAAATAAGTTGTTTGTTTTGCCGTTTTTACCTACATTATTTTATTTAGAATATAATTCATTTCAAAATAATTTTGATGCTAATTAAATTTTAACTTTCTGTATTTAAAATGTTTTTGTATTAATAATTACAAAAGTTTGACTAACAACTTCTGCCCATAAAATTTGATTGGTCAGATTTAACTTTAGGCGATCAAAATGTCAATTTTTTCAAAAGAAGACAATCTTTGATCGTTGATCGGCTGCTATTTCGAGCGCTGTTAACTCTACATAGTGTATAATAGTTTACTCTACATAGTTGTAACGTTTACTTTTTACCATTTCTGAACAAAACAACTTTGTCAGACTTAATGCAGCAAATGGCATGGTAAAAAAAAATCATTTAGTTTGTGTACTTAGTACATATTGATATTATTATATGCTGAGTTTTTACTTGAAGTTTTACTACAAGTTTTTACTTGAAGTTTTACAAGCATTTTCATGTTTGTTTTATTGTCATCATGGTCAAAACTATGACAGCCGCAACAAAAAATCTGATATTAAAAAACAACAAATAAATCGACCCAATCAATGATGTAAGAAAAAAAGTATAAATGATTATTTAAAACCATGTGAATTATGTTTAAAAAATGCTGTATAACATTATCAAAGTTCTCAACTATGGTTTTACCATACGATTTTTAATGTTACACAACAGGACTGTATATAAATGTCAAAACGTTTTTACAACCCTTACACCATGTTATGATATGATAAAAAATTTTTTTAAATAACTTTTTTGCTTAAAAGTACTTTTAAATTGTTAAAAAAAGAGTTATGGAGTAATGTTTAGTATGTTTTTTTTTTTTTTTTATTTCTTCATTCTCGCAGAATTGCCCATATGTATATATATATATATATATATATATATATATATATATATATATATATATATATATATATATATATATATATATATATATATATATATATATATATATATATATATATATATATATATATATATATATATATATATGTATATATATATATATATATATATATATATATATATATATATATATATATAATATATTTATATATTACGGAAATTACAGAAATTTCTATTCTATAGGTTCCAATGTTTTAAGTCTAATTATGCCAGTTTTTTTGTTCCAGATTTGATCCATCCATCTTTTTCTGAACTGGTTATGAAGTTTGTAGATTATTCTTTAACAATTTCTAGGAACTCATAGATTGAAAATGGAAACATTGTTAATAAACAAATCTTTAATAAGTTGGTTGTTAAATTTTTTTTTCAGATATTTTTATTTTTTTCCACTATTGTTTACCTTGCTCTTCTACCTTATGATCACCTACTAAATAAAACATATCAAATGTATCAAAGTATTTGACTTTGCTTCAAGGTCTAGAAACGATGATAAAACCACAGGCGATGTTGTTGTTGGTGAAATATCATATCTCATTGAAGCTTCTGCAGTATGACTAATATATATATATATATATATATATATATATATATATATATATATATATATATACTCATATAGTGTCGCTTTAAGAGCATTTTAATGTAAAAAAAGTCTCTTACGACTACAATTTTAATTACCTCGTCTCTTAAGCTGTTTTTGATTGTCATCGAAATGTCAAAGCAATTAATTTATGCGGAAGTACATTAAATTTAATTGTTTTTTAAAATATTTTTAAAAAACCGCAATTATAACGACTAGAAAGTTTTTTTTAATTAGTGGTGTTTTTGTTATTGATTTAATAAAAAACATTTTTTAAACATGCGTAAATGTTGCTACATCGACTATCTTATAGCCTGACTCGCAACGGAGTGCTGCTACATCGACTGACAAATAGCCTGACTCGCAACGGAGTGCTGCTACATCGACTGACAAATAGCCTGACTCGCAACGGAGTGCTGCTACATCGACTGACAAATAGCCTGACTCGCAAGGGAATGCTGCTACATCGACTGACAAATAGCCTGACTCGCAAGGGAGTGCTGCTACAACGACTGACAAATAGCCTGACTCGCAAGAGAGTGCTGCTACATCGACTGAGGGTTTGGTTTGGCCAGGCAGTCTATCAATTAAAAAAAAAAATTTAATTTTTAAAACTTTTTCTGGTCTGGTTTATTAACGCGCTCTTTAAAACTACAGTTTATGGGAAATATTTTTTGATGCTACGCAAGAGACATGCAAGAGTATATATATATATATATATATATATATATATATATATATATATATATATATATATATATATATATATATATATATATACATATATATATATAAAATATATATAAATGCATATATATCTATATATATGTCTATATATCTATATCTATGTCTATAAATCTATATCTATGTCTATATCTATATCTATAACATATATATATATATATATATATATACATATATATATCTATATATATATGTATATATATATCTATATATATATATATCTATCTATCTAAATATATATATATATATATATATATATATATATATATATATATATATATATATATATATATATATATATATACATACATTAGGGTGCATCCAATGTCTATATTTATAACATATATATATATATATATATATATATATATATATATATATATATATATATATATATATATATATATATATATATATACATACATTAGGGTGCATCCAATGCCCCATACTTTCAAAAATTGATCTGTCCCTATTCTTAAAACTTTCTATTGGTACTCACAAGACATACATGTAGCCTATATAGCATAATATAGTATGTGCTACCTTGTAGCAGCAGGCTATAAAATAGTCAATGTAGCAGCACTCCCTTGTAGCAGCAGGCTATAAGATAATCAATGTAACAGCAAAATTGTGCATCATTGATAATAATCCTTATTTTATTTTGACTCACAACATGAGATAAGGTTATTTTTTTATTTAAGCAAAGTTGAACAAACTGCCCAGGTAAAATATAGCAAAATACTGCAAAATCCAACAAAAAAATGTTTATCATGTTGTGCATTTCCGATAAAGGGTTATCAAAATTGTATCTTGTCTCCTAGCAATCTTACAGTAAACCAAAAATTTTTAATTTTTTGTTTCAATTCACCCCCAATAAAGCTGCTAGCAACCATTATAAAGTTTAGAGTTATTAGAAAACAAAGAATGAAGTTAAAGAGAAAGGAAACTCTGGACAGAAGATTGGAAAAGTTGTATCAGGAAAATATGAAGATGGGAGAGAGTTCTAAAGGGTTGTAGTGTGTGGGAAAAACTAGACAAATGTAAGTTCTTAGAGCATGCAGGGATAGATACAGTAAAAAAAAGTGACTTTGCTGAATGACAATTCAAGCAAGAAGTTTTAGTGGATGGAACTAGAAATGATAGCTTCTTTGAGCAGCAACCATGATATTACTTGAAAAAAGAAAAAGAGACGCAACTTTACAATATTAATATTGTAATGTCGACAGAGTTGCAATAGTTGTTAGCAGTAAATAAGTGAGTTAAAATTCACAAATCACTGTAAGTCCCGCTACAGAAGTGAGTTCTAAGCGATTGAAAAGAAAAGAAAAAACAGGACCAAGGATAGGAACTTGAGGTAACTTTACCCCAGAGAAGATACTGGAAATGAAGTGAATTATAAGTGATTGAAAAGAGAAGACATTGTAGGACTAAGAAGAGGACCTTAAGGTTACTTTACCACAGAAATTACTGGAAATAAAGAAGTGTTAACCCTCAGATGATTTAAATAAAGTGGTTAGAAAGAAATGATTTTCTCAAAGATTTTCCCAGATAAACCATATGAAGCAAGCATATGAAGAAGACCATCATGCCAAACATTATCCAAAGCTCTAAATATGTCAAGATCAATAGCTCTTGTCTCACCGCCTCCATTCAGCAGTTAGCATGTCAGTAGTAGAACGAAGATTGAAAACCATATTGGTGTTGTCAGACAGTTAGCTAATTTAAAAGATTGCATCAAGAAACATTTTTTTGTCTAAGAATACATTGCTTAAAATTAAAATTTATTTATAAATTATTTAAAATGAACTTTATTTAAAAATACACATAATCATTTTTATAGCTTGTTCTTTTTTTATTTTAAAACACTTTACTTAAAAATAAAAAATTCTTTCAGAATTGTTGATAAACAATTGATGCACTCAGTACAGCAGAACTTATTCTAGATGAATTAGTGACCAACACTTTTTCAATACTTTTGAGACAAAAATAGGATTAGCATCTTTATTTTTCTAGAGTACTTTCATATTTTCATTTTTATAAATTACTTCCTTGCTGTTTTAGTTTTTATTTTATTTTGAAAATTTTTACAATAGACTAAGATTTTTGAACACTTTTTAGCAAAATTAATTTTCTAGTTTTTATATTTCTTCTTTTCAATTTTCATGCTTTCTCAATTTGTTTATTTTCTTACTTGATTTGTTTATCATTCTAGAAATGTTTTTTTTTTTTAACTTTTCAATTCTTACTTAAACAATTTCTTAGTTTGTTCTTTTCCTGTGTTTCTATTCTTGTTCTTTGATGCTAATTCTTTTCTTAGTTCTCATGAATTCATTAAACTATGAAATTAGATTGCATTATTAATATCATTATTGCATTAATAATAAACTACAATGAATTATAGAAAATTGTAAAAAAATTATATATTTATATATATATATAAATATATAAATATATATAAATATATATATATATATATATATATATATATATATATATATATATATATATATATATATATATATATATATAAATGTATGTATATAAAAATATAAATAATCATACAGGTGTATCAAACTCTGGTAGAACTCGAATCCCACGTAATCTTGCATACTCTATAACATTTTGAACATCTTCAGGTGTGTAAATGTGTGTTTTGTTATTGTATGCTCCCTAGTCACAAAACAAAAAAATTAATAAATATCTGATTTAAGCAATAAATATTAAAAAAAATAATATTACAACTAAAAAATAATTTACTCCTATTAAATAATATAAAATTGTAAAACAAGCATACAAATGATAAGCTCAAACCTGCAAATGGAGATTTGGGAATGCTTTACTAACATAAGGAAAAGATTGATCATCAACAATATGCCAATGAAAAACATTATATTTGCTGTAAGCTAAGGCATCCTAAAAAATTGAAAAATAGAAACATCTCTGTAATTAATAACACTTAAAAAAACAAAACTAAAAAAAAGCTAAAAATCATTCAAAAAATTTAAGATGAAAAAATAAAATTATAATGCATCAATATTATAATGTATTAATATATTACAACCCTCACAATTAGGAAAAATGAAGTTAGCAAATTATTGTTGACCTCAATCTATTTGAGGTCAACAATAATTTGCTGACTTCATTGTCAACATCAGGTCGGCAAAAATTATTTGATACAAAAGTCTGACCATAAAACATAAAAACAAGGTTGGCAATTTTTTACCGACCTCAAACACTTTCAGGTTGGCAGTTAGGTCGGCATTGCCAAATGCCGACCCTAATTCCGAGGGTTGACAATATTATAACTATATTCATAACTTTTCCATTAATTATAAAATAACTAAATTATAATTATTATTATATCTTATAAATAAAATTAACTTACCAAGAATTGGTAAATTATACTAAGAGAAACATAATGTCTTGAGGTATCAATTAAAAAACCACGATGATTGAAACGAGGTGCATCATCAATTTCATTTTGTTGAACAAAATACTATAAATACAAAGTTATTATGAACAAAAAGATGATTTTCAAAATAGAAAGCAAATATTTTTCTGAAAAAGCTGTATGCTATAAAGACAAGCAAAATGAGTAAGCAAATGCTGATATATATATATATATATATATATATATATATATATATATATATATATATATATATATATATATATATATATATATATATATTTTATATATATATATATATATATATATATATATATATATATATATATATATATATATATATATATATATATATATATATATATATATATATATATATATATATATATATATATATATATATATATATATACATATATATTCAGTGCACTATCTAAAGGTAATCTAAAATCCTTAACCCTTAGATGATATAGCAATTGAGGGTTAGGGTTTTTAATTTAAAAAAAAATACTTATCTAAACTTTTTTGCCAACTCTAAGTAGCTTCCTCTTTAAAATCATAAGGAACCTAATAATTCCACTAAACAGTGGAATTAATAGGTCAATGATAAAAAATTAAGTGTTTTGTTCTAATATTCAATGGTTTTGTTTTATATATAAATACAAAAATATATAAAGTTTTAGGTCTGAAGGAAACTAATATTTCATGACTTTAAAAAGTATACCTCCCCTGAATGCATAGGTACTTCATAGATGATTCATAATAACCAATGTGAAAATCCAAAAATAACTCCTTCTAATTATGTATGTATGTTTTATTTACTATTCCAAAATTACATGGGTTAATACTCAACAAACAAAACTTTATTTATAAATATTTTCTCTAGAGAAACAGATGTAGACTTATATATTATAAAACAAATATGAACATGCAAGACTATTAATGAAAGACATGCAAATGATGAATATATATGAATTTAATATTTATCAACACTTAATTTTTATGAATAAATATTTTAAAAGCTTGATTCTGGAAAAACTTTAGTAATAAACTTATGAAAAATGATAATCAAAAGATTCTCAAAGTATAAACCAATGGAATAGTTATAAATTGCCAAAAATTGCTATGGGTTATATGAAAAGATTGTGGTGGCTTTTATTGGAGCCCCTGTGTGTTTTTTGACTCCTGTATTTCTTGTTCTTTGACCCTAAAAATAACCTCCTGTTGTATTTATAATTGTATACAAAAGGCTAGATCTTTCATTTTATCAGTCTGATCTATTTTTTTGTCAATTTTTTCTTTTACCCACTTTTAAAAAAATGAAAATAAAATGGTTTTTATTAAGTGAAAAAAATTAAAACATTAGAAAAATGCAAATAAGTAAACAAAGCTAACAAAACATTACTTAAACGCTTTCACTTCATTAACTTTATATAAAACACTTCATTGTTAAAGACAAATTAAACTTTTTTTTTTTTGAATACCACTAAAAACCATCTAAATCAAACAAGTGTGAAACCATGGACACTTAACTTATTTTTAAAAAATGATGCATTCTAGTAGTTCTTCCCAGTTTATCCCTATTTTAGTATAATGTTTTCAGTTAAGTTTCATGCAGACCTAAATCAGTAATAATAGATTTTAAAAACCTTACATTGCCACTGGCATTCTGATAAACAACTTGGCTAAAAGTTTCTAGACCTATAAGAAAAAAAGCAACAATAAGAATACTTCAATATCTATTTGGATGCAAACATAAAAATTTGGGTTACTACCTCTCAATGCTCCCCAAACAGTATTAGCCGACAAAAGTGAAGCTCCTCCTTTCACAACTAGAGTGTCTAAAGTTAATTTTTTTTTAAATAAATATAAATTCTATAAATTTGATTTAAATTTATCAAATTCCTAGTAAAATTTCAACAATTTTTTTCAAAGTTCATTTATATATATTACTACATGTTATCATAAAACATTACTATATATTATCATTAAAGGTAGTAATGGTAGTATTGCATTCGAAGAAGATTTTATATATAAAAATTCTATAAATCACAAAGCTTCTACTTCCTAAAAAAAATATTGCTTATAAGGCTCTACAAAAACTTCTATATTATCTATAGATAATTTAACAGGGTTTATTGAAATAAGGGTTGATTTAAAAAATAAAATTTTTTAAATCAACCCTTAATCAGATTAAAATGTATTAAACAAAAAATAAAAACTGTTTAATAAATCATAAGTTATTAATTATTTAGGACTATATATTTTTATTGATTTGAGTTTGTGTATAACTTATTATGTAAAAACTTTAAGTAGGCTTTTATTAAATAAATGAAATTCAAAATTGGCTATTTTAACACATTCATGTTTATTTTAATCAATTAAAACCAATAAAGTAAGATTAGAAGTTATGTACTCGAACTCAGGCCTTGTTAAGAAGCGTTATATATTTGAATTTTACTATGCATTCATGATTTCACATACACGTTTCGTAATTTACGCTGCGCTAAAACCTTTTTTTAATTAGCTTATTTAAACAGTCTTTTAGAAGAGTTAATGCAGAAAATATTAAGCTATAAAAAATTGTTATAAAAAAACTGTGGAATATTTTTTTTATTATATAACAAAAACAGATAGATAAATAAACTTTTTTATATTTTTCGTTTTTTTTTTTAAATATTTTTAATTTATTTTCTTAAATTTAAATTAAATTTATTATTGAATATAATTAAATATAAATTTATTTTATTAAATTTAATCAAAATCCTTTAAAAAATTTTAAAACGCTTTACATTATTTATTTATTTAGTTTATTACTTTATTATTAACTTAGTTTTTCATATTACATACATAGCTTTATTTTACATTTCAGTTTTAAAATTGCTTTTTAACAAAAAAAAACTTCTTTATCATTAATTTTTTGAACTGATTATAGACTGAACGTTGATTAAAAATAATTAGTTTATGAGTAGTATGCAAAGATTTTGTTAAAAAGTAGTTTATGAGTAGTACACGAAGATTTTGTTAAAAAGTAGTTTATGAGTATTATGCGAAGATTTTGTTAAAAAGTAGTTTATGAATAGTATGCGAAGATTTTGTTAAAAAGTAGTTTATGAGTAGTACGCGAAGATTTTGTTAAAAAGTAGTTTATGAGTAGTATGCGAAGATTTTGTTAAAAAGTAGTTTATGAGTAGTACGCGAAGATTTTGTTAAATTGTTAAAAAAAGATAGATAGTTTTTATTTTTTGACAGTTTATAAATTTTATGATTTAAAAAATACTTGTCTAATTAATGCGCTTTTGTAGTTAATAAATGACTTCAATACAAAAAAAGTTCTTTCAAACTCGAGTATGTTTGGGTTTGCCCTTCGCTGTTAAATTTTATGTAGAAAATTTTTTTTTTTAAAATAAAACAAACCAAACTTTATAACCGAATAAAAATAACATGATAAATGAGTAAACGCTTTAAAAGCCTAATTTATATCTATTATATTTTAAAAACAAAACTAATACAAGTGCTATAATTATAAGATATGTAACTTTCAAAAATATACTGATATTTGCTAAAAACAAGTTCTGCTAATAACATCTTAAAACAAAAAATGGCATAATTTTTCTTTGGATTTAGTAAAAAATAGTGAAAATATATTAGTTTCAGGGTTAATGAAAACAAAATACTTTAACGGAAATAAAAAAAAAAAAAGCAGTGATCTTCGTTTAATTACAATTTTTGTTTTGTCAAAAGCCAGTTGAAAATGTTTCAGGTAGGTATGTTTTTAGGTAGCGTGAACGTTTTTTTATGAAGGGGAAAACCTAATCTAATTGTATAGTTGTGTATACCATTTGAAAAGCTACTATAAGTTATTTATATTTAAATACCTTCAAGAAATTCAACCATGAACAAGTGTTCTGCCATTAAAAAAAAAATAATAACCATAAAACAAATGTTTTTAAGAAAAAAAAAAGTATAAAATTTTAAAATAAAGAAATATATATATTTATTTAAACAAAATTTAAATCTTATTTATAATTTTTCTAAAACAATGTAAAGTTTTTTTTTAACAATTTTTTTCCCGCTTTGTACATCATTTTTATATCACGACTTATATCATTGTTATATTACCCACAACTAATTTTTTAACCACTCATTTGGCTTACAGGGTTTTGCAAAGTTATAAGTGCACGTTTGCAAAGTTATAAGTGCACGTTTGCAAAGTTATAAGTGCATTTATAAAATTAATTTTAACTCTTATATTTTAAATATCAATGGAAAGAAAAGTACGGAAACAAATTATAGAAGAAATTAAAAATACGATTATTTCAATGAGAAATTGTGAAAAATATTCAATCAAGGAAATATCCAGCGTTTGTAATTTAACTCGAAATGCTGTTGGTCGTGTTATAAAAAATAGTGATAATAATATACCCTTCACGTCATCTACAGTAAAAAGAAAAGAAACGTATAAAATCAAAAATTCTATAAATACAAACATTGAACAGACAATATTTAATTTCGTGGTCTGTAACAATGCCGTAGTTCAAAAAGAAATTCAAACACAAATTTTAGAACAACATGGTAAAAAGGTTTCAATCTCGTTTGTTTACTGTAAATTAAAGAAATTAAATTTGACACGAAAAAGATTAGCAATCATTCCTCAAGAAAGAAACACCATGGAAAGAATAAATCAGAGATCAATTTTTGCGGCAGAAGTTGCTAGAATTGCTGATTCAAATTTGGTTTTTTTAGACGAAACCGGATTCAATAAAATACAGTGCGCTCATATGGCTATTCTCCAAAAGATACAAAAGCGTACTTGACAGTTCCTGCAAATAAAGGACAAAATGTTAGCCTCATGTGCTTAATTTCCAATTTAGGAGTTGAATGTTACCAATACAAAAGTGGCGCATACAATACACAATAATTTATTGATTTCATCAACAACAAACTAGTACCATTCTTTGCTGTAAATCCAAATAAAATTCTTATCCGAGATAATGCAAAATTTCATAAAGCAGCTGCAGTATTTCAATTACTAAGAGAAAAAAATATTACTCACAAGTTTTTAGTACCATACTCCCCTGAATTGAACGAAATCGAAGAGTTCTTTTCAATGTTAAAATCCAATTTCAAATCCACAAGAAATGCTAATCCCGATATGACTGTTAAAGAAACTCTCGAATATATTTTATCACCTGATAATAATTATAGTCAACAGTGCAATGCCTTTTATATAAATATGAGAAGATGGTTCGAAAAGGCAATAAGAAAAGAAGAATTTATCTAATTAAAATATTTAAAATGATTTGTTTATTTTTTTTAATAATGTATATTTTTGCATGCCTTTTTAAAATATTATGATTAAATAATGTATACTATTTTTCAAAAATTATGAAAGTGTTTAGTCTAGAAAAGTTATTGATATATAACAACAACATATCTAATAAATGTTAAAAAAAGTTGTAAAACCTACAAGATTCATCAGTTTCAAGATTCATAGGTTCCATTGGTTCCTTGACAGTGATAATTAAACTTGTCACTGACTCTAAACTTGGTTCAGCAACCATGAACGGATCAGGAAATGTTATAGATTTATAGCGAACAACAGCTGCAGTTAACACATCTGATTGTTGAGATTCAGATATATCAAAACTAAAAAATAAATTATATATATATATATATATATATATATATATATATATATATATATAATGTACTTATATATATATATATATATATATATATATATATATAATGTACTTATAGCTCAGAATTATAAAATCTGAATAATAGCTGAAAAATAATATTTGAAATTATAGTTGACCTTTACTTATTTTTGGTCAGCATCAGGTTAGCACAAAATTTTTAATACGAAGGTTTCACCATAAAAACATAGAAACGTTGGCAAAAAATTGCTGACCTTAGACACTTTTAAGAGAAAAAGGTTAGAAGTTAGGTCAACATTCACAAATGCTGACCTTATTTAAAAGGGTGGTTGTGTGTGTATATATATATATATATATATATATATATATATATATATATATATATATATATATATATATATATATATATATATATATATATATATATATATATATATATATATATATATATATATATATATATATATATATATATATATATATATATATATATATATATATATATATTGTTGTGCATGACATTTATAGAAAAGCTTCTAATATCAAATAATGACATAGAGGCATGAAACTTATATTTTAATAGTAAAATTTCTATTGTTTTGTTACTTTTGTTGTCTATTACACACATGTAGTATGAGATATACTACAAGGTTCCATCAAAAAGTAAAAATTAATATAATTTTGACTTATACTGTTAATGCCATGCACAACAGATTATATATATATATATATATATATATATATATATATATATATATATATATATATATATATATATATATATATATACATATATATAAACAATAACTATTTTATGATAGTCTGCCATTCAGAAGTTATATAAATAATTCAGAAGTTATATAAATAATCATGATTTATCAACAATCATCTTTACAGATACAAATATACAGTATTATTCACAATTTACACTGTTTGCTCTATTATTTGTAACTTTTATAAAAAAAATTAAGAAACTGAAATTGCTTATGTGTATTGTGTATAGTGTTTAAAAGATTATCAGTTTATTCAGTTAATATATAGAATTATAAATGTGACACATAGGATAGTATAGCATATTATAGAATAAAGCATAGCCAATGTCAGCAATATAATTAATTTCTAAATTTTATTTAAAATATAAATGTTGAAGATTTTTTTTTTTTATCCTCCGGTATTTTGTTAACCTGGAGGAGATTTAAAAAAAAATCTGATGTGTGTTCAAACTCGAGTCCACTAGCCTAGGTGATATGTGTTGAAGTAGTTTAAAATTATTTTGAATCTAGAAGAGTACAGTGTTTTTTGCAAGATTTTCTCTTTTTTCCAGAACCATCATCATCTAGTAAAACTGTATCTGTTGTACCAAGTCCTCAAAACACAACTCCTTTCTCAGCTTCCAAAAAAAAGCCACAGACTCGTCGAGCTACCGAGTTGTTTGGGATCGACCCTGCTATATGCACAGATGATGGAATAATTACAGGTATTCGGCTGCCAACTTGTTTACAAGTTTTAAGAAACATAATGTACCATTGCAATCTAGCAGTAAACAGTCAACGTTCAGGATCAACTAGTGCACCATCAAGATTTACAACAGTAAAATTAGTGCTGAAAGAAATTGCATCGCTGTATGGAAAAGCCAGCATACCGATGGTTACAAAAGGAAGAGCATGTGAGAAAATAATCAAACTCTTAGATTATAACAACAAATTCTATTCATCGAAAAGAGCTGTCGTGACACACCGAACACACAGAAAAAACTGAAAGATATGCAATTCATGTTGGCATGGATATTCCAGCTCTGGCTGCCTAATGTTGAAAGTCTTGCCAAGAATCCAGAGGATCTTGCATTCCTCCAGTCAATGAAAGAGGATAGAGCTGCTAGCTTTGGTGCATTTGACAAGGTACTTGCCCAGAAGATAGCCAGGCTATCTGATACCACATAATTCAATTGGGATCTGATACCACATAATTCAACTCAAATAGTTTCTTTTTGTCCTGAAGATCATGAAACACAGTCGCAAGACCTGAGTGGCAAGAGTTGATTTGTGCTTCACAATTAATTGGCTTCAGCTGGACACCAGCTTCTTGAAAATTCCTGTCAGTGATTGGAGAAAGTCTGATGCTTACATTTCCAGTGCCACAAATGTTGCAGCTGTAAATGTTGTTAATGATTGTGCCAAGAGAGGTGTCAAATTAGCATCAGACTTTGTCAAAACTGTCAGATCTGACAAACACTTTCAAAAACGCTCTTCAAGTTGTAGAAAAAGATCGTAAAGATGCTCCAAATCTGTGCCGGAAACGCTGCAACAATGAAGTACTGTGATTATATAAGATGAATGGTGCTTAAGCAATGATAATAAGCATCAAACTAATCTATGAACTAACAGTACAATTTAGATTCTTTCCAAATTTGAAATAATTTTTTTTTTGAAAAATATTTAGTAAAATTTGCACATTTTCATAAGAATTGAGAAATTTTTTAATTAGATTTTTATTATTTTAGTAATTTTTGTTTTATTTATCAATTTAATTCATTACCATAGTTATAGCATTAAAAACAATGAAACAGTTATATTGACAAAAAATATGCTAGAATAAAGCTAGAAAATGAATTTTAATGATCATTTTTGTATCACGATTCCACAAATTTTGTTTTTTTCTTGGTGGGACCTCTAAACATTGTTTGATTTTAAAAATCTTTTACCCATATTATCTGTTAGCATAATGGAACACAATGGAAACACAGACAACTCAAAAGTAAACACTTAATTTTTTTTCCTAATGTTGCGATGCACTCTAATATATATATATATATATATATATATATATATATATATATATATATATATATATATATATATATATATATATATATATATATATATATATATATATATATATATATATATATATATATATATATATATATATATATATATATATATATATATATATATATATATATATATATATATATATATATATATATATATATATATAGTCTTGCAAGGTAGTTGAAGTTTTTCCCATAAACTGAAGTTTTAAAGAGAGCACTAATAAACCAGACCAGAAATAGTTAAAAACTTGAATAATTTTTTTTTTTTTTGTAATTAAATGATAGACTGCCTGCCCTAACCAAAACCTCAGTTGATGTAGCAACAATCTCTTGTGAGTCAGGCTATTTGTCAGTCGATGTAGCAGCACTCCATTGCAAGTCAGGCTATAAGATAGTCGATGTAACAACACTCTGTTGCGAGTTAGGCTATAAAATAATCAATGTTGCAACACTCCCTTGTAGTAGCAGACTATAAAATAGTTAATGTAGCAACAACAATGTGTGTGTGTGTGTGTGTGTGTGTGTATATATATATATATATATATATATATATATATATATATATATATATATATATATATATATATATGTATATATATATGTATATATATATGTATATATATATACATATATATATATACATATATATATATATATATATATATATATATATATATATATATATATATATATATATATATATATATATATATATATATATATATACATATATATATATATATATATATATATATACATATATATATATATATATATATATATATATATATATATATATATATATATATATATATATATATATATATATATATATATATATATATATATATGTATATACATATATCAGGAATGGCGTGCAATCGTACTCTGTAACTGACCATGCTAATAGTTTTTTTTCTTTACTACTTGACCACGGCTATTTTGATGTTTTAATGTTTTAAAAACAATAAAAAGTGTTACGTTACTAAATAACTTTTCGTCATTAATCTTTTCTATTTTACGCGAAGGCTTTAAAATAAAACCATATAATTAATTATTTTTTTAATAATTGATTACATAAACGCATGAGTAAATTAGTTAAAATTATTATACATAAGTTTTTTTTATGTAGGCATGTATTTTTCATGATAAACTTAAATATTTGAAACTATTTTCCCATGTCTTCCTAAAAATCTTTTAAAGCATGTATTTTAGAAAGATTTTTTTTATGTTACTTAAATTTATGAATAAGTTTTGCGACGATTAGCTTTTACACATTTTATTTGAATTATACAAGAATATAAAATAACTTTATTTACTTATATAAGCATGTTTTTTGTTGATTAATGGAGAAGTTTTGTAGCATTTTGTAATGTTCATAGGATTAACTTTTATAACTAAAAATACGATTTTTTAAAATCTTTTAACAAACATTTTATTTTTTGAATGAAATTTTTTTTTTTTTTTACTAATAACGATAGTAATGAATGAGTTAAAATCATTTATAATAATTTTTAAATTCCTTACGTGAAGAGCTTGTTAATAAAGTTGTAATGCTCAAATTAAAATTCAATTGCTTGTTAGTAGTTTATTTGATTTAAATTGCAGGCGCGTTTTATTTATTTGTTTATTTTTTACGAATAAAAGAGTTAAAAACCTTTTTTTTAATTAGACATTAATTAGGGCATGAAATTATTAAAAATTACTATTTTAAAAAGACTGTGCTATTTTTTTGAACAATTTTTTTTGAAAAAATAAATGTTTATACAATTTAAAATTTATTAAAAACAACACTTTTTAATAAATTTGATAATATTTGTTCGTTTATTGAACAATCATTAGTAGTAATTTGTTGCATTAATTAAAAGCGTTTTGCGTAACTTTAATAAAACCTTTAAAAAGAATTATTTCAAACGTAATTAAAAACGTAACAAAAAGTTTCGCTTCGAGTTTAAGATTTTACCTTTTTACTTTTATTTTAGTGCTTGTATAATTTCTTTTTCGTATAAAATTTTTTTTTGTCGGTTTTTTTTTTATTAACTTTTTTCCTAGTTTAAGTTTAGCTTTTCTGCATTTAGCACATTTCTGAAATGTTTAAATCATCAAAACATATAAACCATTGTGGTCAAGTTGTCACGAAATAAAATCATTTG